AATAAATAAATAAAAAAAAAAAAAGTTTTTTTCTCATCTCATATCAGATATAGGCCAAACTACAAATCACAACGTCGTGTTATTTTTTATTCAAACGACACAAAAATCAGCATGAGAATTACTTCTATAAAAGACATTGAAAAGCTTCAATCTGATATTAATAGTTTTCGATTGGGCAGCAGAAAATATGATGTTTAACAGTGATAAATTACAGGTACTTAACTATGAAAAAAATGAAGATCATAAACGAAATACAGATTACAAGACGGAATTAGATCTGTACATAGTTAGGAAGTAATATGTAAAGGATCTGGGAATAAGACAGTGAAGAGTAGAGGTACCGTAGGTACGGAGGTCCACGGCTATGTAACATACTGTATTCTCAGCATACATAACAAATATTAATTTCAAGAAAAAAATTAGAAAAAGATTTCAAGTAAAAATTAGATGGTTTCCAGCAAGAAGTGCCAGACCAACCGGATTTTAGTCGGTATGTGGCCCTGCAGACTGCTCCTAGCAGCAGTGTGTTGTGGCCCTACAGACTGCTCCTAGCAGCAGTGTGTTGTGGCCCTACAGACTGCTCCTAGCAGCAGTGTGTTGTGGCCCTACAGACTGCTCCTAGCAGCAGTGTGTTGTGGCCCTACAGACTGCTCCTAGCAGCAGTGTGTTGTGGCCCTACAGACTGCTCCTAGCAGCAGTGTGTTGGACGGAGCTCTTGTCGAGTCCAGCTTTCACTGGAATGTTTTAATATTGCTTTAATATTTTAATATTGGAATGTAGTCAATGGCGTGTGTATCAACCCTGACATTTTGGAGTCCTTGCGAAGCCTCCCACACACACACACTGATATGCATCTATCTCCTTTTCTTTATGCTTCTCTATCCCTTCTTTATGCTTCTCTATCCCTTCTTTATGCTTCTCTATCCCTTCTTTATGCTTCTCTATCCCTTCTTTATGCTTCTCTATCCCTTCTTTATGCTTCTCTATCCCTTCTTTATGCTTCTCTCTTCCCTTCTTTATGCTTCTCTATCCCTTCATTATGCTTCTCTCTTCCCTTCTTTATGCTTCTCTATCCCTTCATTATGCTTCTCTCTTCCCTTCTTTATGCTTCTCTATCCCTTCTTTATGCTTCTCTATCCCTTCTTTATGCTTCTCTATCCCTTCTTTATGCTTCTCTCTTCCCTTCTTTATGCTTCTCTATCCCTTCTTTATGCTTCTCTATCCCTTCTTTATGCTTCTCTCTTCCCTTCTTTATGCTTCTCTATCCCTTCTTTATGCTTCTCTCTTCCCTTCTTTATGCTTCTCTCTTCCCTTCTTTATGCTTCTCTATCCCTTCTTTATGCTTCTCTCTTCCCTTCTTTATGCTTGTCTCTTCCCTTCTTTATGCTTCTCTATCCCTTCTTTATGCTTCTCTATCCCTTCTTTATGCTTCTCTCTTCCCTTCTTTATGCTTCTCTATCCCTTCTTTATGCTTGTCTCTTCCCTTCTTTATGCTTGTCTCTTCCCTTCTTTATGCTTGTCTCTTCCCTTCTTTATGCTTGTCTCTTCTCTTCTTTATGCTTGTCTCTTCCCTTCTTTATGCTTGTCTCTTCTCTTCTTTATGCTTGTCTCTTCCCTTCTTTATGCTTGTCTCTTCTCTTCTTTATGCTTGTCTCTTCCCTTCTTTATGCTTGTCTCTTCACCTTCTTTATGCTTGTCTCTTCACCTTCTTTATGCTTGTCTCTTCACCTTCTTTATGCTTCTCTCTTCACCTTCTTTATGCTTCTCTCTTCCCTTCTTTATGCTTCTCTCTTCCCTTCTTTATGCTTCTCTCTTCCCCTTCTTTATGCGTCTCTCTTCCCTTCTTTATGCTTGTCTCTTCCCCTTCTTTATGCTTGTCTCTTCCCCTTCTTTATGCTTGTCTCTTCCCCTTCTTTATGCTTGTCTCTTCCCCTTCTTTATGCTTGTCTCTTCCCTTCTTTATGCTTGTCTCTTCACCTTCTTTATGCTTGTCTCTTCACCTTCTTTATGCTTGTCTCTTCCCCTTCTTTATGCTTGTCTCTTCACCTTCTTTATGCTTGTCTCTTCACCTTCTTTATGCTTGTCTCTTCACCTTCTTTATGCTTGTCTCTTCACCTTCTTTATGCTTGTCTCTTCACCTTCTTTATGCTTGTCTCTTCACCTTCTTTATGCTTGTCTCTTCCCCTTCTTTATGCTTCTCTCTTCCCTTCTTTATGCTTGTCTCTTCACCTTCTTTATGCTTGTCTCTTCACCTTCTTTATGCTTGTCTCTTCCCCTTCTTTATGCTTGTCTCTTCCCCTTCTTTATGCTTGTCTCTTCACCTTCTTTATGCTTGTCTCTTCCCCTTCTTTATGCTTGTCTCTTCCCCTTCTTTATGCTTGTCTCTTCACCTTCTTTATGCTTGTCTCTTCACCTTCTTTATGCTTGTCTCTTCACCTTCTTTATGCTTGTCTCTTCCCCTTCTTTATGCTTGTCTCTTCCCCTTCTTTATGCTTGTCTCTTCACCTTCTTTATGCTTGTCTCTTCACCTTCTTTATGCTTCTCTCTTCACCTTCTTTATGCTTGTCTCTTCACCTTCTTTATGCTTGTCTCTTCACCTTCTTTATGCTTCTCTCTTCACCTTCTTTATGCTTCTCTCTTCACCTTCTTTATGCTTCTCTCTTCACCTTCTTTGTGCTTCTCTCTTCACCTTCTTTGTGCTTCTCTCTTCACCTTCTTTGTGTTTCTCTCTTTTTAACTAATGCTAGAGTTCATTAGGAATGTCATTGATGTTCCAAGTGAAACTGCAAGCTAGAGCTGTTACCATTCATCAGCTCATCAGAAACCTGCCCCTAGAGACTCGCTTATTTCACCAGTTTATTATTTGTATCCGTCAGGAATAACCTCTCTTTTAATGCTAAATAACATGTAAGGAACAGTATGAGACAGTCCTGAGCCAACTGTGTACCAGAGCCTTCATATGGTCGATTGACCTGATTTCCTACATATTAGCGTCCTGAGCCAACAGGTTCCAGATGCGAGTGAGCCTTGAGAAAGAATGATCGCTGATGGAGTGATGTTCTTGAGAAAGGCAGTTCCAGCATGAGATTGTTGATGGTTGACCGCGTTTTGTTACGGCTGCCAACTTCTGGGTGTCCATGAAGTTGGAGCAGGTGAGGATCTTTGAGAATATTGACCTTATATATAAGTGGGTTCAACAGCTTCCTGGTGTTGAAGGCTCTGATGTTCTGGTCATTCCAGGCAGACTGGATCAAGACTAGAGATAAGCCTTCCCACACGATTCTCCATCTTGTCCAAAATTGTGATGCATGATGGAGTAGGATGAAGGGGGGGGGGAGACAGGGAAGCTGTACCTTCTCCTGATTTAAGCGAACTTGTGCTTCGTATAGGGTTTTACAACCTCAGGTGTCAAGAAGGTATGGGATACACCATATGGCTGTAGTGTCCTGGCTACCTTCCTAGGTCGAGCACGTGGTTCTTATGGTCATTGAGGAGTCAGGCTTTTTCCCAGTATGTCCATCTCATCACTAAATACAAGATGTTTGTCACTTGTATTTTGACAGTTCAATGCATGTCCGATTTGCAATATAATGCTGGCTTATAATCATCGCCTGTGTTTTCTCAGCCGCAAATATATATATCTACATCTGTCATAATCTGTTTTTGCATCTCGGTCTCTATCTTTCTCTCTGCCCCTCTGTTTCTGTCTCTATATACGTCTCTTAATCATCTAATGAGGAAGTTTGTCTTTATATATTTCTGATCTGACTCCTTTTTCTTTATCTAAATCCCTTTCTTTTTCCTCTATCTTCCATTCTGATACTTTACCTCCCTTTCTGATCCGTCTACCGCCGTGTCTGATCCGTCTACCGCCGTGTCTGATCCGTCTACCGCCGTGTCTGATCCGTCTACCGCCGTGTCTGATCCGTCTGTCTAATAAATCTACCATCCATTTACCACCATGTCTCATCCATCTACATCCTCATCTGATCCATCTGTATCCTTGTCTGATCCATCTATGTCTCCCCGTCTGGTCCATAATGTCCTCCCCCCGTCTGGTCCATAATGTCCTGCCCCGTCTGGTCCATAATGTCCCCCCCCCTGTCTGGTCCATAATGTCCTCCCCCCCCCGTCTGGTCCATAATGTCTTGCCCCGTCTGGTCCATAATGTCCTGCCCCGTCTGGTCCATAATGTCCTGCCCCGTCTGGTCCATAATGTCCTGCCCCGTCTGGTCCATAATGTCCTGCCCCGTCTGGTCCATAATGTCCTGCCCCGTCTGGTCCATAATGTCCTGCCCCGTCTGGTCCATAATGTCCTGCCCCGTCTGGTCCATAATGTCCTGCCCCGTCTGGTCCATAATGTCCTGCCCCGTCTGGTCCATAATGTCCTGCCCCGTCTGGTCCATAATGTCCCCCCCGTCTGGTCCATAATGTCCTGCCCCCCGTCTGGTCCATAATGTCCCCCCCGTCTGGTCCATAATGTCCTGCCCCCCGTCTGGTCCATAATATCCTGGCCCCCGTCTGGTCCATAATGTCCTCCCCCCGTCTGGTCCATAATGTCCTGGCCCCCGTCTGGTCCATAATGTCCTGGCCCCCGTCTGGTCCATAATGTCCTGGCCCCCGTCTGGTCCATAATGTCCTGGCCCCCGTCTGGTCCATAATGTCCTGGCCCCCGTCTGGTCCATAATGTCCTGGCCCCCGTCTAGTCCATAATGTCCTGGCCCCCGTCTGGCCCATAATGTCCTGCCCCCCGTCTGGCCCATAATGTCCTGCCCCCCGTCTGGCCCATAATGTTCTGCCCCCCGTCTGGCCCATAATGTCCTGGCCCCCGTCTGGCCCATAATGTCCTGGCCCCCGTCTGGCCCATAATGTCCTGGCCCCCGTCTGGTCCATAATATCCTGGCCCCCGTCTGGTCTATAATGTCCTCCCCCGTCTGGTCCATAATGTCCTGCCCCCGTCTGGCCCATAATGTCCTGCCCCCCGTCTGGTCCATAATGTCCTAGCCCCCGTCTGGCCCATAATGTCCTGGCCCCCGTCTGGTCCATAATATCCTGGCCCCCGTCTGGTCCATAATGTCCTGCCCCCCCGTCTGGCCCATAATGTCCTGGCCCCCGTCTGGTCCATAATATCCTGGCCCCCGTCTGGTCCATAATGTCCTGGCCCCCGTCTGGTCCATAATATCCTGGCCCCCGTCTGGTCCATAATGTCCTCCCCCGTCTGGTCCATAATGTCCTGCCCCCGTCTGGCCCATAATGTCCTGGCCCCCGTCTGGTCCATAATGTCCTGGCCCCCGTCTGGTCCATAATGTCCTGCCCCGTCTGGTCCATAATGTCCTGCCCCCCGTCTGGTCCATAATGTCCTGGCCCCCGTCTGGTCCATAATGTCCTGGCCCCCGTCTGGTCCATAATGTCCTGGCCCCCGTCTGGTCCATAATGTCCTGGCCCCCGTCTGGTCCATAATGTCCTGGCCCCCCGTCTGGTCCATAATGTCCTGGCCCCCATCTGGTCCATAATGTCCTGGCCCCCGTCTGGTCCATAATGTCCTGGCCCCCGTCTGGTCCATAATGTCCTGGTCCCCCGTCTGGTCCGTAATGTCCTGGCCCCGTCTGGTCCATAATGTCCTCCCCCCCCGTCTGGTCCATAATGTCCTGGCCCCCGTCTGGTCCATAATGTCCTGGCCCCCGTCTGGTCCATAATGTCCTGGCCCCGTCTGGTCCATAATGTCCTGCCCCCCCCGTCTGGTCCATAATGTCCCCCCCCCGTCTGGTCCATAATGTCCTGGCCCCCGTCTGGTCCATAATGTCCTGCCCCGTCTGGTCTATAATGTCCTGCCCCGTCTGGTCCATAATGCCCCCCCCCCGTCTGGTCCATAATGTCCTCCCCCCGTCTGGTCCATAATGTCCTGGCCCCCGTCTGGTCCATAATGTCCTGGCCCCGTCTGGTCCATAATGTCCTGCCCCCCCGTCTGGTCCATAATGTCCCCCCCCGTCTGGTCCATAATGTCCTGCCCCGTCTGGTCTATAATGTCCTGCCCCCCCCCCCCCCCGTCTGGTCCATAATGTCCTGGCCCCCGTCTGGTCCATAATGTCCTGGCCGCGTCTGGTCCATAATGTCCTGGCCCCCGTCTGGTCCATAATGTCCTGCCCCCCGTCTGGTCCATAATGTCCTGGCCCCCGTCTGGTCCATAATGTCCTGCCCCCCGTCTGGTCCATAATGTCCTGGCCCCCGTCTGGTCCATAATGTCCTGGCCCCCGTCTGGTCCATAATGTCCTGCCCCCCCGTCTGGTCCATAATGTCATGCCCCCCCGTCTGGTCCATAATGTCCTCCCCGTCTGGTCCATAATGTCCTGCCCCCCCGTCTGGTCCATAATGTCCTGGCCCCCGTCTGGTCCATAATGTCCTGGCCCCCCGTCTGGTCCATAATGTCCTGGCCCCCGTCTGGTCCATAATGTCCTGGCCCCCGTCTGGTCCATAATGTCCTGGCCCCCGTCTGGTCCATAATGTCCTGGCCCCCGTCTGGTCCATAATGTCCTGCCCCCCCGTCTGGTCCATAATGTCCTGCCCCCCGTCTGGTCCATAATGTCCTCCCCGTCTGGTCCATAATGTCCTGCCCCCCGTCTGGTCCATAATGTCCTGGCCCCCGTCTGGTCCATAATGTCCTGGCCCCCGTCTGGTCCATAATGTCCTGGCCCCCGTCTGGTCCATAATGTCCTGCCCCCCCCCGTCTGGTCCATAATGTCCTGCCCCCCCGTCTGGTCCATAATGTCCTGCCCCCCCGTCTGGTCCATAATGTCCTCCCCGTCTGGTCCATAATGTCCTGCCCCCCCGTCTGGTCCATAATGTCCTGGCCCCCGTCTGGTCCATAATGTCCTGCCCCCCCGTCTGGTCCATAATGTCCTGGCCCCCGTCTGGTCCATAATGTCCTGGCCCCCCGTCTGGTCCATAATGTCCTGGCCCCCGTCTGGTCCATAATGTCCTGGCCCCCGTCTGGTCCATAATGTCCTGCCCCCCCGTCTGGTCCATAATGTCCTGGCCCCCGTCTGGTCCATAATGTCCTGCCCCCCCGTCTGGTCCATAATGTCCTCCCCGTCTGGTCCATAATGTCCTGCCCCCCGTCTGGTCCATAATGTCCTGGCCCCCGTCTGGTCCATAATGTCCTGCCCCCCCGTCTGGTCCATAATGTCCTGGCCCCCGTCTGGTCCATAATGTCCTGGCCCCCCGTCTGGTCCATAATGTCCTGGCCCCCGTCTGGTCCATAATGTCCTGGCCCCCGTCTGATCCATCTATCCCCTTTGATCCACCTATCTCCTTATCTGTTCCGTCTCTGTCCATGTCTCTTCCCTTGGTATTTGTCTTCTCTTTTCATCAATTTTCCTCATAGTATTTTTTCATTTCAGTAAAACGTTTTACTTTAAATTACTAAATATTTTTTGTAAATAAATTATTTAATTTTGTCTCATTAGGTAAAGTGGCCTGAGGATGGTGCGTTTAAGTAGGCCTTCCCGCTGTCACTTAGTGGGTGTGGCTGCTAGAGCGGGTGGGGCGGGGGAGACGGGAGGGACAGGAGACGGGGGAGGGGGGAACAGGAGACCTGGGAAGGGATGGGACTGGAGACGGGGGGGAAGGAGAGGGGGGGGACAGGAGATTTAGTTGAAGGGGGTGTGTGAGGAAGCAGGATATGGAGTGGACAAGACGTCCGGTGGGGGTGACAGGAGACAGGATGAAGGGGGCCGTGGGTAAGGGGGTGTTACCAAAGACGGATTAAGCGGGGGGGGGGGCAGGAGACGAGGGTAGGGGAGGAGGAGGAGGGGTGAGAGGAGGCATCAGGGCTAGAAATAAATACATAAATACCTGAAAATAATCATAATTTGTTTAATTAAATTGTATTCGTATGAGGAAGCATGTGAAGTGTCTTCATAGCCAAATTAAAAGGAAATCGAGAATGAATGAACAAGAGACTTAGTTGTCTAAACAAAAGACGAGTAAAAGGAAAAACAATGACAAGGAAATCTGCGAGGAACTAAATGCCAACTGTCAAAGGTATTCTCGACGCGGCGAGATAACCCCAGTTGACAGATTGTCAAGTACAGAGGTAACAGAGGAGGTTGTGAGCAATCAGAGGTGCTAGATGAAACGAAGGCTGGTGGACCACACACCGTATCACCATGGATGTTGATCAAAGCTGCTCAAAGTCCTCGGTATAATTCTTGCTTTGATCATTAATGATCCACAGGCGAGGGAGAGGCAGGGTAATATGGTACCAGTATACAAGAAAGGTAACAGGTAGGAGGCACTTACTTACACACAGGTGTCGCTGACAAGTACACTCTGCACAGTACATAAGATAAAAAAAAATAAGACTAGTTGAAAGTAATCTTGATTCAATTTGTTGACAAGCACTTGAGGGAGAGAAATCGGGACTTAACTCTTGGAATTCTGCGACAAATTGATAACAATGATGTAGACGTGAGAAGGATGATTCAGACTACTCATTTCAAGACTGCCATAAAAACCTTTGATTTAGTTCCTCATAAATAACTACTATTCAAACTTAAGACAGGCAGGAGTAACTGGAAGAGCACAGAAATAGGTGGTGGGAAAACACCTACCAAACACGAGGCAGAGTGCCACAGTGATGGGACAAGTAATCGGGTTTAGCGTAGTGTTACAAGGGAAGTCCCCCAAAAGAAAGACCCATGTTCCTTTACTATTTGTCATCTGTGCCAACGGCGGCCTAACCGCGGGAGTAGAGTAATACATATCATTGTTTGCAGTATAGTGAGTCATTGTATTTGCCAACGGATGGTAAGAGAGGCGGAGTCAAAGAGCTCCTACAGGCACCAATAGTAAACACACACACACACACACACACACACACACACACACACACACACACACACACACACACACACACACACACACACACACACACACACACACCACTCACACACCACTCACACACCACTCACACACACACACACACCACCCACACACACTCTCTCTCTCACTCTCTCTCTCACACTCTCTCTCACACTCTCTCTCACACTCTCTCTCACACTCTCACACTCTCTCTCACACTCTCTCACACTCTCACACTCTCTCACACTCTCTCTCACACACTCTCTCTCTCTCACACACTCTCTCTCTCTCACACACACTCTCTCTCACACACACTCTCACACACACACTCTCACACACACACACACACACACACTCTCTCTCACACACACTCCCTCTCACACACACTCCCTCTCACACACACTCCCTCTCACACACACTCCCTCTCACACACACTCCCTCTCACACACACTCTCTCACACTCTCTCTCACACTCTCTCTCACACTCTCTCTCTCTCACACTCTCTCTCACACTCACTCTCACACTCTCTCTCACTCTCTCTCTCTCTCTTTCTCTCTCTCTCTCTCTCTCTCTCTCTCTCTCTCTCTCTCTCTCTCTCTCTCTCTCTCTCTCTCTCTCTCTCTCTCTCTCTCTCTCTCTCACACACACTCACACACTAATATCTAATAAATATAGCTAATAAAGCCAAGACCGAACTAAAGCTACTACACAGTCACATCAGAAGGAAGACAACAGTGAAGGAACAGGTGATGAAACTTAGGGTGGGCGAGGACAGGTACACAGAGAATGACAAAGAGGTGTGTGAAGAATTCAACAAAAGGTTCCAGGAGGTCTTTACAATAGAACAGGGAGATGTCGCGGCGCTAGAAGAGGTGGCAGCAAACCAGGTGACCTTGGATAGGTTCGAAATTACAAGAGATGAGGTCAAGAAGCACCTATTGGAGCTGGATGTGAGAAAAGCTGTTGGGCCGGATGGAATCTCGCCATGGGTATTGAAAGAGTGTGCAGGAGCACTTTGCCTACCACTCTCCATAGTGTATAGTAGGTCACTGGAAACGGGGGACCTACCAGAAATATGGAAGACTGCTAATGTAGTACCAATATACAAAAAGGGTGACAGACAAGAGGCACTGAACTACAGGCCAGTGTCCTTAACTTGTATACCATGCAAGGTGATGGAGAAGATTGTGAGAAAAAACCTATTAACACATCTGGAGAGAAGAGACTTCGTGACAACCCATCAACATGGGTTCAGGGAGGGTAAATCTTGCCTTACAGGATTGATAGAATTCTACGATCAGGTGACAAAGATTAAACAAGAAAGAGAAGGGTGGGCGGACTGCATTTTTTGGGACTGTCGGAAAGCCTTTGACACAGTACCCCATAAAAGGCTGATGCATAAGCTGGAGAAACAGGCAGGAGTAACTGGTAGGGCGCTCCAGTGGATAAGGGAGTACCTAAACAATAGGAAGCAGAGAGTTACAGTGAGGGGTGAGACCTCAGACTGGCGTGAAGTCACCAGTGGAGTCCCACAGGGCTCTGTACTTGGACCTATCCTGTTTCTGATATACGTAAATGATCTCCCAGAGGGTATAGACTCATTCCTCTCAATGTTTGCTGACGACGCCAAAATTATGAGAAGGATTAAGACAGAGGAGGACAGCTTGAGGCTTCAAGAAGACCTGGACAAGCTGCAGGAATGGTCGAACAAATGGCTGTTAGTTTAATCCAAGCAAATGTAATGTAATGAAGATAGGGGTAGGAAGCAGGAGACCAGATACAAGGTATCACTTGGGAGATGAAATACTTCAAGAGTCCGAGAGAGAGAAAGACCTGGGGGTTGATATCACGCCAGACCTGTCCCCTGAAGCTCATATCAAGAGGATAACAGCAGCAGCATATGCCAGGTTGGCTAACATAAGAATGGCCTTTAGAAACTTGTGTAAGGAATCTTTCAGAACATTATATACCACATATGTCAGACCAATCCTGGAGTATGCGGCTCCAGCATGGAGTCCATATCTAGTCAAGCATAAGACTAAAATGGAAAAGGTTCAAAGGTTTGCCACCAGACTAGTACCCGAGCTGAGGGGTATGAGCTACGAGGAGAGACTACGGGAATTAAACCTCACTTCGTTGGAAGACAGAAGAGTTAGGGGGGACATGATCACCACATTCAAGATCCTCAAGGGAATCGACAGGGTTGATAAAGACAGGCTGTTTAACACAAGGGGCACACGCACTAGGGGACACAGGTGGAAACTGAGCGCCCAAATGAGCCACAGAGATATTAGAAAGAACTTTTTTAGTGTCAGAGTGGTTGACAAATGGAATGCATTAGGAAGTGATGTGGTGGAGGCTGACTCCATACACAGTTTCAAGTGTAGATATGATAGAGCCCAATAGGCTCAGGAACTTGTACACCTCTTGATTGACAGTTGAGAGGCGGGACCAAAGAGCCACAGCTCAACCCCCGCAAGCACAACTAGGTGAGTACACACACACACTCACACACACACACACACACACACACACACACACACACACACACACACACACACACACACACACACACACACACACACACACACAGTGCAGAAGGTACACTGAGGTTGGCCCTCAAAAGACTTGGGTATCAGAAGTGTCTTAAAGTGGAATTAGACACGCAAGGTGTTTATAAAACTGACAATATAGATACCTACGAAAACTATCCACCGTAGGTAAAACATTCACTTTAATAAACATCAATTTACCTGGGAAACTATAACAATTAGTTGTCATGGCAAAAATTATTCAGCATCACAGTCAAATTTTAAATAAGTTTTTGCTACTCTATTATTCAAAATCAGTGTCTCTGATGTTTAGTGTAGTGACCTTCCCGGGTTGAGCAAATTTGACGCTTGCATGCGTAATCCAATTGTTCAATCATGACTTCCCTCTGGAACGAGAATTGGCTTCCAGGCAGAAAATGGCGAACATTCTATTCACAGTTTAATTGCAAGAGCCTAGTGCAAACATTTTTCGAATGTTCGGAGGGAAGCTCAGACGAACGTTTTTGATCAATAGACTGTCATGTACCAGAATGTTGCTGACAGATATAGACAGACATAGCCGTGATTTTTGTTGCTAGATATAGACAATCATATCCCTGATTGTTGCTGACAGATAGTCATATCCCTGATTGTTGCTACCAGATAGTCATATCCCTGATTGTTGCTGCCTCATATAGATCGCCATACCCCCTGATTGTCGCTCCAAGATAGTCATAGGTTCCAAACTGTTGCTTCCTGATAGTCATATCCTGATTGTTGTCTTATATAGACAGTCATGTCCCTGATTGTTTGCTGCAGGTGACCAGCGAACACGACGCCTCACGTCACATGACCAACAAACACGACGCCTCACGTCACATGACCAACAAACACGACGCCTCACGTCACGTGACCAACAAACACGACGCCTCACGTCACGTGACCAACAAACACGACGCCTCACGTCACATGACCAACAAACACGACGCCTCACGTCACATGACCAACAAACACGACGCCTCACGTCACATGACCAACAAACACGACGCCTCACGTCACGTGACCAACAAACACGACGCCTCACGTCACGTGACCAACAAACACGACGCCTCACGTCACATGACCAACAAACACGACGCCTCACGTCACATGACCAACAAACACGACGCCTCACGTCACATGACCAACAAACACGACGCCTCACGTCACATGACCAGCGAACACGACGCCTCACGTCACGTGACCAACAAACACGACGCCTCACGTCACGTGACCAACAAACACGACGCCTCACGTCACATGACCAACAAACACGACGCCTCACGTCACATGACCAACAAACACGACGCCTCACGTCACGTGACCAACAAACACGACGCCTCACGTCACATCTCAAATGAATGAAAAAGAATATTGTGATTTATTATTAACATTAAAATGTTATGGAAAGTACATAACATTTTTCCGATTTTATTGAATGGCTGGACACATGTGTGTCCTGTGGGTGGCTGGACACATGTGTGTCCTGTGGGTGGCTGGACACATGTGTGTCCTGTGGGTGGCTGGACACGTGTGTCCTGTGGGTGGCTGGACACATGTGTGTCCTGTGGGTGGCTGGACACATGTTGTGTGGTCTGTGGGTGGCTGGACACATGTTGTGTGGTCTGTGGGAGGCAGGACACATGTTGTGTGGTCTGTGGGAGGCTGGACACATGTTGTGTGGTCTGTGGGTGGCTGGACACATGTGTCCTGTGGGTGGCTGGACACATGTTGTGTGGTCTGTGGGTGGCTGGACACATGTTGTGTGGTCTGTGGGAGGCAGGACACATGTTGTGTGGTCTGTGGGAGGCAGGACACATGTTGTGTGGTCTGTGGGTGGCAGGACACATGTGTGTCCTGTGGGTGGCTGGACACATGTGTGTCCTGTGGGTGGCTGGACACATGTGTGTCCTGTGGGTGGCTGGACACATGTTGTGTGGTCTGTGGGTGGCTGGACACATGTTGTGTGGTCTGTGGGAGGCTGGACACATGTTGTGTACTCTGTGGGAGGCAGGACACATGTTGTGTGGTCTGTGGGTGGCAGGACACATGTTGTGTGCTCTGTGGGAGGCAGGACACATGTTGTGTGGTCTGTGGGTGGCTGGACACATGTTGTGAGGTCTGTGGGAGGCAGGACACATGTTGTGTGGTCTGTGGGTGGCTGGACACATGTTGTGAGGTCTGTGGGAGGCTGGACACATGTTGTGTACTCTGTGGGAGGCAGGACACATGTTGTGTGGTCTGTGGGTGGCAGGACACATGTTGTGTGCTCTGTGGGAGGCAGGACACATGTTGTGTGGTCTGTGGGTGGCTGGACACATGTTGTGTGGTCTGTGGGTGGCAGGACACATGTTGTGTGGTCTGTGGGAGGCTGGACACATGTTGTGTACTCTGTGGGAGGCAGGACACATGTTGTGTGGTCTGTGGGAGGCTGGACACATGTTGTGTGGTCTGTGGGTGGCTGGACACATGTGTGTCCTGTGGGTGGCTGGACACATGTGTGTCCTGTGGGTGGCTGGACACATGTTGTGTGGTCTGTGGGTGGCTGGACACATGTTGTGTGGTCTGTGGGTGGCTGGACACATGTTGTGTGGTCTGTGGGAGGCAGGACACATGTTGTGTGGTCTGTGGGTGGCAGGACACATGTTGTGTGGTCTGTGGGAGGCAGGACACATGTTGTGTGGTCTGTGGGTGGCAGGACACATGTTGTGTGGTCTGTGAGTGGCTGGACACATGTTGTGTGGTCTGTGGGTGGCTGGACACATGTTGTGTGGTCTGTGGGAGGCAGGACACATGTTGTGTGGTCTGTGGGTGGCAGGACACATGTTGTGTGGTCTGTGGGTGGCAGGACACATGTTTGTGTGCTCTGTGGGTGGCAGGACACATGTTGTGTGGTCTGTGGGTGGCTGGACACATGTTGTGTGGTCTGTGGGAGGCAGGACACATGTTGTGTGGTCTGTGGGAGGCAGGACACATGTTGTGTGGTCTGTGGGTGGCTGGACACATGTTGTGTGGTCTGTGGGTGGCAGGACACATGTTGTGTGGTCTGTGGGAGGCTGGACACATGTTGTGTATTCTGTGGGAGGCAGGACACATGTTGTGTGGTCTGTGGGTGGCAGGACACATGTTGTGTGCTCTGTGGGAGGCAGGACACATGTTGTGTGGTCTGTGGGAGGCTGGACACATGTTGTGTGGTCTGTGGGTGGCTGGACACATGTGTGTCCTGTGGGTGGCTGGACGCATGTGTGTCCTGTGGGTGGCTGGACACATGTTGTGTGGTCTGTGGGTGGCTGGACACATGTTGTGTGGTCTGTGGGTGGCTGGACACATGTTGTGTGGTCTGTGGGTGGCTGGACACATGTTGTGTGGTCTGTGGGTGGCTGGACACATGTTGTGTGGTCTGTGGGAGGCAGGACACATGTTGTGTGGTCTGTGGGTGGCAGGACACATGTTGTGTGGTCTGTGGGTGGCAGGACACATGTTGTGTGGTCTGTGGGAGGCAGGACACATGTTGTGTGGTCTGTGGGTGGCAGGACACATGTTGTGTGGTCTGTGGGTGGCTGGACACATGTTGTGTGGTCTGTGGGTGGCTGGACACATGTTGTGTGGTCTGTGGGTGGCAGGACACATGTTGTGTGGTCTGTGGGTGGCAGGACACATGTTGTGTGGTCTGTGGGAGGCAGGACACATGTTGTGTGGTCTGTGGGTGGCAGGACACATGTTGTGTGGTCTGTGGGTGGCAGGACACATGTTTGTGTGCTCTGTGGGTGGCAGGACACATGTTGTGTGGTCTGTGGGTGGCTGGACACATGTTGTGTGGTCTGTGGGAGGCAGGACACATGTTGTGTGGTCTGTGGGAGGCAGGACACATGTTGTGTGGTCTGTGGGTGGCTGGACACATGTTGTGTGGTCTGTGGGTGGCTGAACACATGTTGTGTGGTCTGTGGGAGGCAGGACACATGTTGTGTGGTCTGTGGGTGGCTGGACACATGTGTGTCCTGTGGGTGGCTGGACACATGTGTGTCCTGTGGGTGGCTGGACACATGTTGTGTGGTCTGTGGGTGGCTGGACACATGTTGTGTGGTCTGTGGGTGGCTGGACACATGTTGTGTGGTCTGTGGGTGGCTGGACACATGTTGTGTGGTCTGTGGGTGGCTGGACACATGTTGTGTGGTCTGTGGGAGGCAGGACACATGTTGTGTGGTCTGTGGGTGGCTGGACACATGTGTGTCCTGTGGGTGGCTGGACACATGTGTGTCCTGTGGGTGGCTGGACACATGTTGTGTGGTCTGTGGGTGGCTGGACACATGTTGTGTGGTCTGTGGGTGGCTGGACACATGTTGTGTGGCCTGTGGGAGGCAGGACACATGTTGTGTGGTCTGTGGGTGGCAGGACACATGTTGTGTGGTCTGTGGGAGGCAGGACACATGTTGTGTGGTCTGTGGGTGGCAGGACACATGTTGTGTGGTCTGTGGGTGGCTGGACACATGTTGTGTGGTCTGTGGGTGGCTGGACACATGTTGTGTGGTCTGTGGGTGGCTGGACACATGTTGTGTGGTCTGTGGGAGGCAGGACACATGTTGTGTGGTCTGTGGGTGGCAGGACACATGTTGTGTGGTCTGTGGGTGGCAGGACACATGTTTGTGTGCTCTGTGGGTGGCAGGACACATGTTGTGTGGTCTGTGGGTGGCTGGACACATGTTGTGTGGTCTGTGGGAGGCAGGACACATGTTGTGTGGTCTGTGGGAGGCAGGACACATGTTGTGTGGTCTGTGGGAGGCAGGACACATGTTGTGTGGTCTGTGGGAGGCAGGACACATGTTGTGTGGTCTGTGGGTGGCTGGACACATGTTGCGTGGTCTGTGGGTGGCAGGACACATGTTGTGTGGTCTGTGGGAGGCTGGACACATGTTGTGTATTCTGTGGGAGGCAGGACACATGTTGTGTGGTCTGTGGGTGGCAGGACACATGTTGTGTGCTCTGTGGGAGGCAGGACACATGTTGTGTGGTCTGTGGGAGGCTGGACACATGTTGTGTGGTCTGTGGGTGGCTGGACACATGTGTGTCCTGTGGGTGGCTGGACGCATGTGTGTCCTGTGGGTGGCTGGACACATGTTGTGTGGTCTGTGGGTGGCTGGACACATGTTGTGTGGTCTGTGGGTGGCTGGACACATGTTGTGTGGTCTGTGGGAGGCAGGACACATGTTGTGTGGTCTGTGGGTGGCAGGACACATGTTGTGTGGTCTGTGGGAGGCAGGACACATGTTGTGTGGTCTGTGGGTGGCAGGACACATGTTGTGTGGTCTGTGGGTGGCTGGACACATGTTGTGTGGTCTGTGGGTGGCTGGACACATGTTGTGTGGTCTGTGGGTGGCAGGACACATGTTGTGTGGTCTGTGGGTGGCAGGACACATGTTGTGTGGTCTGTGGGAGGCAGGACACATGTTGTGTGGTCTGTGGGTGGCAGGACACATGTTGTGTGGTCTGTGGGTGGCAGGACACATGTTTGTGTGCTCTGTGGGTGGCAGGACACATGTTGTGTGGTCTGTGGGTGGCTGGACACATGTTGTGTGGTCTGTGGGAGGCAGGACACATGTTGTGTGGTCTGTGGGAGGCAGGACACATGTTGTGTGGTCTGTGGGTGGCTGGACACATGTTGTGTGGTCTGTGGGTGGCTGGACACATGTTGTGTGGTCTGTGGGAGGCAGGACACATGTTGTGTGGTCTGTGGGAGGCTGGACACATGTTGTGTGGTCTGTGGGAGGCTGGACACATGTTGTGTGGTCTGTGGGAGGCAGGACACATGTTGTGTGGTCTGTGGGAGGCAGGACGCATGTTGTGTGGTCTGTGGGAGGCTGGGCACATGTTGTGTACTCTGTGGGAGGCAGGACACATGTTGTGTGGTCTGTGGGTGGCAGGACACATGTTGTGTGCTCTGTGGGAGGCAGGACACATGTTGTGTGGTCTGTGGGTGTCTGGACACATGTTGTGTACTCTGTGGGTGGCTGGACACGTGTGTGTCCTGTGGGTGGCTGGTCACATGTTGTGTGGTCTGTGGGTGGCTGGACACATGTTGTGTGGTCTGTGGGTGGCAGGACACATGTTTGTGTGCTCTGTTGGTGGCAGGACACATGTTGTGTGGTCTGTGGGTGGCAGGACACATGTTGTGTGGTCTGTGGGTGGCTGGACACATGTTGTGTGGTCTGTGGGTGGCTAGACACATGTTGTGTGGTCTCTGGGTGGCTGGACACATGTTGTGTGGTCTGTGGGAGGCTGGACACATGTTGTGTGGTCTGTGGGTGGCAGGACACATGTTGTGTGGTCTGTGGGTGGCAGGACACATGTTGTGTGCTCTGTGGGAGGCT